CTCCATAAAGAAGGTGTTTGGGTGCCTCACAAACTCTCTGATGATCATCGTTTCCAGTGTGTGAATGTTGCTTCGTCTCTTCTGGCGCGTAATGCGTGAACCATTTTTGGACAGAAATATCACTGGTGACGAAAAATGGATTCTCTATGCAAATATTAAATGCCAAATTCAATGCCTCAGTCCTAGACAAAAACCACTTCTGCCCCCAAAACCTGGACTCCATCCGCAGAAAGTGATGCTTTGCATTTGGTAGGACATCAAAAGAGTTTACATATATCACACATATCTTTTATAGTTATAGCTGTGATTAATATGCTGCAATACATAGTGTACATAAACAGTTTACATATATTGTATTGCAGCATATTAATCACATCTATAACTATAAAAGATGTGTGTGATATATGTAAACTGTTTGTATACACTATGTATTGCAGCATATTAATCACATCTATAACTATAAAAGATGTGTGCAGTGTATACAAACAGTTTACATATATCACACATCTTTTATAGTTATAGATGTGATTAATATACTTCAATACATAGTGTATACAAACAGTTTACATATATCACACACATCTTTTATAGTTATAGATGTGATTAATATGCTGCAATACATAATGTATACAAACAGTTTACATTTATCACACACATCTTTTATAGTTATAGATGTGATTAATATGCTGCAATACATAATGTATACAAACAGTTTACATATATCACACACATCTTTTATAGTTATAGATGTGAGTAATATGCTGCAATACATAGTGTATACAAACAGTTTATAGTATGTATATCACAGAAGAAATGTTTCCTGTTTAGATTAATGTATAACTGTTTTATTTTCTTTTAGGTTTATTTTAGTTTTGTTTTTGTCCAAGGTGTGGTACAGTGAATTGTTTTGTGCTTTATTTGTGGTATTTATTCTCAAACTCAGAATGGTAGCTTTATAATAATAAGTTCTTACTTTTGAGTTTGTTTTGTATGATTCTCTTGTATATCTTAAAATATGTCATCTATTATGGATGCTTGTTTTGCTTTAATGTTAGTAGCAACTTTAGCATCTAATTTGAATTATATGTTTTGTTTATTTCTATAACTGCAACTTCTTCAAACTGTTGATGTAATGTAATCCAATTATCCAAACAGATTGACACGTAAGTTAATGCTGTGTAAAACTTGGATTTGTTTTGCTGTAAAAATCTACATATATTTTATCCATTTGACCTTGTAGTGTGTTAATGTATTTCATATTTGCTATGCTATAGACTTTTCAGCCTTCTGAAACTGATTGTAATAAGGTCACTAATGTATCTTGCACAATAAAGGTTAATTTTGGTTCAATTTGATTATTAACAGCTACGACAGAGTCCACAATTACTTTTAATGTGGTTTTGGATTCTCTTCACCAATTTCATTAAAATTGAGAGAATAGATGGTACTTGTGAGACACTACTATGTCAATATTGTATATTCTCTTTGATAAGCGTATGAGTATGTGTGTCTATCTGTATTTATATATTCCACAGACATATATATATATATATGATCAAACACATATCATTACATATGAAGAACCTGGGTCATACATTTACATTTATACTTTATGTACTTGTTCTCTTCAACAACCAATTCTTAAAATTGCTAAGCATACTCTTACCTGTTCCCTCAGACTCTTCAATGTTTCCATTTGTTTTTGACGTTCTCCTTCCTCCGTAGAAAAAGAAAAATAACCAACTCCATGATCTCGTACTTCTGTAAACCACAAAATGTTTTTTAGTTAATGTATTTTATTAAACTTGGTGAAAGTGAAAAATTTCTTACACAAGAAAAAAAGTTCTTAAGAATTCAATTGTTTCATCATATGTCTACCAACTTAATATATGCGCAAGTTATTCAGTGTTTATTTATTTTAAGTATGGTAGTAGGGATCAACAAAAATTGTAAATATTTCATTCACTGAAAAACCACCCTATTGAACTCCTAAGCAAAAAACTGCCCCTTCAAAGTACTGGTTAAGATATATTATGCACATATATACTAACAACATGCTAAAAAGGTCACTAACATTTCCAGTACAAGAATTCAAAAATTTCTAAAACAGCAACTAAAACATCAGCGGGGCTAGTGCCTAGATAGCTTGGACTATCACTATAAGATTTCTCCAGCTTACTTGACTGGTCTGTGGGTATCTGCTTTTGATATTCCGATAAACGTCCATGTATATACAGGTATAATATAAATAGTAAACATATCATGCATGTACTTAAATATCTTTTCAACCCAACAGATGGTGCTGCATATTGACAGATAGACAAGCAACAGTTTCCAAAGGTAAAGTATATACTTTATACGGGTATAACATTAAAAGTAAACAAACAAGAGTATTAAAAATTATGAATTTTAAAATATAATAAGGATCCTGCTAAAAAAGTAATGAAACAATAATTAAAACCACAATTACATATTTATAAAAGTCAATCCCTACTTTAGCAGCTTTATACACTTACCTGTACACCAAAATAAGGATTAAATTTTATAATTTTGTGATTGTGTTTTTAATTCTTGTAAAAGTTATAACGTCAAGGATATGGCTATACTGGAAGTTTATACATGTTATGTCAATTCCATGGACATATAAAAATTGTACAAATAAATAGGAAAAAAATTAAATTTCCTATTTATTTGTTATTTCTACTATAATGATATAAAATCATAATAGCCATGCATTGATCAGCTTCCAAGAAGAAAAATAACATTTTTGTAAACATTATTTTCATTATGTTCGTAACAGTCTGAATGAGTTTTATTTTCGAGCATGATGATACTAAATTTATCAGGAGGTCATAGTGATAAATAAATTAAATTTGTAATTAAATATTCATAATGCTTTCACAGTAAAGGTCTTAAGAAATTTTGATGCGAGATTTTTGTGCAAATATAATGCATAATCTTTTAATTTTATTTTCACCATTGGAAATAAGCTTATCTCTTTCAGTATAAGTGTTGTTCTACCATTATTCTCTTACACTACACAATTAATACAAGAAAGTAATGGTATGCAAGTGTTAAAACTGAGTAAAGTATTAACCCATTGACTGCAGCTGCTCTAAATAAGTGCAGAATTTTTGTAAGCCATACACTATATACAGTACACTTGCTTTCAAGCAGACCATAACCTATATGGTGAATCAGCAGTCAATGGGTTAAAGGTAGTTACAGAGTCAGTGGGTTCTGAAATTATAAAACTGTCAGTGTGAAGAAGTAAATATTAAAAATATACTTGCATGACATACAAATTAAAATCTATGAAATGTATTTCAAATTTTACTCATTAGTTCACAAAACTGAAGTTGTAGCTAACTGTGGAAATAAATAAAAATACAAACAGAAGCAAGTTTTCAAAACAACTCATTCCAGTTCTCTATTACTGAAGGGATCACTGGTATCAATGAATTAAGAGTGGTAAACAGAATAATCCCTTGAACCCACACAGTATAGTGGCACAAGAATCACACTGTTGTGCTTCTGTGCCTTACTGAGTGTTCTTGATTATTTTTTCTTCAGTTTTGTTGAATTACCTGCATAGCTACTCAAGAGCCATCACTAATTTTGAATACCCCAAGGCTAAAAGGTTTAGTAAGTTCAGTAACAGTTTTCCATCTATAACTTGTAAATTTCAAGTCCATGGATCTTACTTCCTGTCCAAATGCATTTTGTACATTTCACCTTATTGAATACAAACTCAACACCTACTTGAGAAAGAAAACTCTGTACTTTTCTACTTCATCTAAAAAAATTGGAGCTTCTCTGGTATGATATGTATAACTTTATCAGACCAACGGATTTAAAAAGCACAAATTTATGGCCTTTCCAAAGTTCATAAATCTGTTTTTTTTTATGACCTATTGTACCTGTCTATGGAGCCTTTACTTTCAATTTAGGAAAATATTTAGCTTGATTATTTTCTCATTACATCAGCTGTGCCTCATTATTTGTCAAAAATTCAGAAGAATTTGTCAAAAATAAAAAATGTTGACCTACTTGCCATTAACATAAATTTTAATGGGAAAAGCTTGTTCACAAAAGTACCAGTTTCTGAAGCAGTGAACTCACCTTTGATTGTTTCATAAATGACCCTTCTCCTAGATCTTCACTTATTTGTGAAATTCTGAAAAAAATGTCTCCATTTCACCACTTCCTGAAACAACTTTCAATCTGAAGGTCTCAATTATGATCAGATAGAATGATTAAGCACGGGCAATTTCCTTTCATATACCAGCCTTCTGGGTAAGATATGTTGATGATATACTTACTAGCTTCAATTATTCCTCATCCACTGAAGAGTTATTTTCCCACATGAACCTGATCCATCCTGACATTAAATGTACCAGTGAACATAAAGAAAACCATACATCCTGAATGTCCTTGTTAAAAGACATAATATTAAGTTCCACACTTTCAGTTATCATAAGGATACTCGCACAGGTTTATACATACCTGGGAACTCATACCATGGCCCTTCTCAAAAAATAGGCACAAAAAAACTCTGTATTATTCTATCAAACTACTTGTTCCAGTAACAAACATTTTCAATTAGACCTCAAAAAAATGAGAACAAAATTACAAATCCACAGTAATTTTCCTCTAGAATCCATTCACAAAGTCTTCTCTAAACTTAATAAAAAGTCCAAGGTGAAGTCTCAGCACAAGTCAAGTAATAATGAATGTCCTATTTATTACACAATTTCATTTACCCCAAAAGTGTCATATTCAATCAGAAAGTTTTGGGAAAAAATTATAAAAAAAATCTCAAATTAACTTGTCTATACAATTTGTGTTTATTTCTGGCAGAAAACTAGAACAACTTCTATAAAAAAAATACCAAGTTTCTTATTTCCAAGGTTCTGAGTATCAAATAAATTTTTGAACAATGCAACAGATTTTACACTAGAGAAACACACAGACAAGTTCCTACCCATGTCAAATAACATAAGAAACCCCCTCCCATGATATGAACATATCTCCATGCTTGGTCATTTGTATTCTCAATAGAGAGAAAAATAAAAACTGCCACAAAATAAAAGAAGCCTTATTAATTAAACAGTTTGAACCTGAAATTAAAAACATAATATCTTGGGACAACATGGGACCTATTGGTCCATCTCAGCTGTTTCATCCTCAAAACTAAATTAAAATAATTAAGTAAAATAAAATAAAAACATTTTAAACCCAGCCCTTTTCATTTATATACTTATGAAGCTTTTTCTTAAACTCACTTAAATTTATTGCCTCTACAACGTCTGAAGGCAACCGATTCTAAAGGCAAGCCACCCTGTTAGAAAAATAAAACTGTCTTAGATGAAGATGACTCCTACCTTGCCAAAATTTATATTTTTGTCCCCTAGTTCTACTATTCTCACTGTTAAATATAAAAAAAGATGATATATCAACACTATCAATTCCCTTTACAATCATAAACACCTCAATAAGATCCCCAGTAAATCTCCTTTTTTCAAGAGAAAACAATTTGAGAGATTTCAGCCTCTCCTCATATGAAAACCCCTCCATCCCAGGCACCATTCTAGTAACCCTTCTCTGAACCCTTTCCAACAATTCAACGTCCTTCCTAAGATAAGGAGCCCAAGACTGAACACAATATTCCGTATGTGGCCTAACCAGTGATCTGTACAAT